CTGGTTATATTTTCATTTTCTCTCTTCCTCTCCTCTCCCCCACCATCAATATTACATTGGACTAGAATTTGTTTATTAGTTCCATCAAAGCCTTTGAACCAAGCCTAAAAAGAGGGTTGTATCAGGTAGTCTGCGTAGCTGATACATTGAGTAAGAAGAAACCGCAGAATGGAAATGAAATGGAACTCTATATTTTGCTTCCCACTATGTCCTCAGAACCTTTTCAGAGAGGATGGCCTCCCCCCTGGACGAGCACAAGGGCAGACTGTGTGTGGGATTCCTTCCCATCTATATTTCCCCCTGCTCTCCGCAGAGGGAGGCCAACCTGTACGGATTACATCAATACACTCCATGCCTGCTGGATTGTGGTTGGATGTGGGCCATGGGGAACCCCAGCAGGAAAGTGGAGGGAGAGAAGAAAGCGAGGTCAGGGAACTGAATCTCCTGCCTCCCTTCCTGGGAGGTCACCCCAGCTGGCAGCGACCTTCGGCAGAATGGTGATCCTCTCAAGGTGGATCTCTTACCTTTGGTCTTCAGGTAAGTAACGTCTCCTGGCATCCTGTGGATCCTGGGAGGGGTGGCATTGGCTCCAGTGCATCTAACCTAAATTCCTGCACAGCCCATCCTGGTTCTCTCTTACATGCTATCTACACTTTTGCAAAGGCATCCTCCCCTGTTACCAGAATTTGAGTGTGCCCTCTGCCATGTGTTTTGCCATGGCCCTCTTTGGGAGTAGACAATTCTGTAGGTCATTTAGTTACAAACGGAATCGCAATGAAGAAATGATAGCATCCAGTCCAAGATATTAATCAACACTGCAATCTTCACTTCAGGATAAGAACTGTTTCCCTCCAGCCCCAGGGCTGGTGGGGAAGGGGTGTGTGTAGCCAGCCCTGCTCTCTTTGCCACCTCACTTGCTCTTTGCTGTTTCCACTTCTGCCTGGGCAGAGATGGGGGAGGAGGAGCACAGGACAGTTCTCACCTGAACCTATTCAGCCATAACTTGGTTTGGCACCCTCAAGCCCGGCCTGGTTAGAGCTGATGCGCTCTCCTCGTCCCTTGGGAACTCTCTGCTCCTACCAAACCTCAGCTGTACACCCAGCAAGCTCTTACTTCCAGCTGGCTCTCCCTCTGAGTCCTGTTCACGTTCAACTCATTGATGCTGAAGAGCCTTCTTCATCCTTCCTGGTTATCTCCTTGGGTAGAACTTAAGGACTCCAGGTGACCTTCTCACCAGCCAAGTTCAGATCTATCCATAACAAAGGTGACCCAGATGTGCTATCCACAATAAAGCCCTTCCTCTTATAGGGCTTTGGGTGCTCTTTCTCTCCATTAGGCCTCGTCTTCCTGCAACACATGGAAGGCATACATTGGTTTGGCAGGAAAATGCGGAACATCTCAAAGCAGAGGTCTTACAGCTTATAGGTGGGTTTAAAGAATTGCAATTGGTTAAAGAATGAAGGTTGGTCTAAAGCAGGGGTTCTCAACCTGTGCGTCACGACTTACAGGAACTGCTTTAAAGGGCACGGTATTAGGAAGGTTGAGAACCACTGGTCTAAAGGCTTGGAATATTTCAAGTCAAGATAAAGGAGTCTGTTAATCAGAGACAGGCTAAGACCATATATTTATTGTATAAACTGAGGACCTGGAGGTTTGTGTTGAATAGCCATGGGCCCATTAATGAGCTACAAAGGGTATCTACCAGAGGGAAGGGGCATGAAGAGGCATGTATGACCTCCCTTCTCTTGGCCGGTAAATCAGTTTTAGGGTATTCCTGGCCAAGAAGGGATCTGTTTAGTCAGCTGGGGGACATTTAAATTTTATTTTAGTTCACACCTTGAATTTAGAAGGAGCTTAAGAAATTTTACCCCCCATAACTACCTGATATAAAGAATATTTTGAATGAAGGCCCTTAGAGATTAACTGGCCATTGAAAGGGGCTTTCCCTCTATCTGCATAAAGGACGGTCCTGATCAGAAGATCAAAGAGGACAATTTACTTCCCTTCCTCTCCCTGTTATCTCAATATATTGCAGGAAAGAAGACCAAGAATGCAACCAGGCCTGGCCCAAATCATTTAAAGCATAATACCTATCTCTCACGACCATTTTTTGCACCTATACTCCTCACTTTCCCCTCCTTTCTAAAAGGCCTATATAAGAATATCTGAACTG